AATACCCTGCAAAGCACGTTTGTTGACGCAGAGCTCGTCCTGCGAAGCACATTTTTACACTCGCGGGGCTCATGGCAGCGAGGGAGCACATTCTTACACTCGCGGGGCTCAAGGCAACGAGGGAGCACATTCTTACACTCGCGGGGCTCAGGGCAACGAGGGAGCACATTCTTACACTCGCGGGGCTCATGGCAGCGAGGGAGCACATTTGTTGACGCAGAGCCCATCCTGCGAGGTAGTCTTGTTTTCGCAGCACCTCCCTGCGAGGATTGTTGTTGACGCAGACCTATCCTGCGAGGTAGTCTTGTTGACGCAGCACCTCCCTGCGAGGATTGTTATTCACGCAGGCCTATCCTGCGAAGCACCTTTTTACACTCGTGGGGCTCGTGGCAGCGAGGGAGCACAGTCTTACATCGCTGGGCTCGTGGCAGCGACAGCCGTGGTTACGGAAGCTCTCAAGCCCGCAGGCAAGAGAGGGACACTATGATGCATCAAAGTGCGATGACCAAAGTGTGAGGATGGAAGTCCTGAGAATTTTGGGCTGGGAATCCGGCCCCTTTTATAATTTTTTCGGTCAAGTCTCTACCAAGGAACCATTGCGCCGAAGGGTAGCGAGAATCACTGTCCTTTGGTTGGCGTTGAAGCAAGTTGAACGACGTTGAAACGGTATTTGGAGACTTTGTGGCCTACAGACTCAAGTTTCGACCTGGGATCATTTCTCTCAAATCTTGCGTTGAGTATGGTGAACCGCTTTCATCAACTGTTGAAAGAAAGCAACACCGCAAAAATGTGATTCCTACATATTGTTGAGTTTGCAATTAAATCGCTCAAGCGGTGGCACCCTACATCTGCCCGTTTAGCCACGGTCACCGTCTCTTTCATGAGGGTTGATGTGCTTCAACAGATGCCAAAATAATAGGTTGGAAAATTTCTGGTTGACAGAAACGCTGGACTGTACCTGCGGTTGGCCGGAGGATCCTTTGGTCTCGCTCGAATCAATCCTGTTCATCCTTGGCCCCGCGCCGCTGAACGTTGTTTCTTCCCTGTCTACTCGCGGCCAGCTAATGTTGCTTTTACCAGAATATCTACTCCCTTACCGCACAGATATTGACATACTGTCAAGCTCAGGATGAGGATTGTCCTTCTTCGGGAGGGCATAAACAAAAGCCCAGAGCTTATTGGAAAGTTTCCATAGGAAACCGAGCCTAGGACAACCATGTGAAATGTGCAACCAGGCCCACGAGCTAGGTTCGCGTGATCGCCACCCCCTCGCAAGGTTGAGACGCTACTATCACATTGATGAAACCCTGGATACAAATAGCATCCGACGGACCAATCAAACACCATGCGCGAATTTAGACGGACGCAGGTACGGTTCTGCGATGCAGATCCCAGCGACGACCCACGGGACAGCAGATCAAGGAGGTTCTATTTCTGGCCCGGAGCAGAGATTGGAAGGATTTGCAAAGGCCCAGACACAGTCCACAAGCCCAAATCTGATGGCCGTAAGTGTCCGATGGAACGGGTCTTTGTTGCTTAGGAGGTATTACTGGGGCAGGTGAGTATTTGGAAATATTACGCGGAATTCTGGTAACAGAATGGTAGGCTAAATCCCGATCCGTGGTTATGTTTTCCTGGTTCCTGTCACAGGAGAGTATGTCTCCTGCCAAGTGGCAAGCTGCTCCTTGCCTATCTGGTGTGTAGAAATTCTAGAAGCTGTGTCTTCTGTTCTGCATGAACCTTCCCTGTAGAGTATACGTAGAGACGATACTCCCTTTGAGCCCAAAACTTCCTCTGCATCTGCTGCAACTCGATCGGCAATTCGATCGCCTTTCTAATAACTCTAGCAGACAGCTTGTAAACATTTATGCCAATCATGGACAGACCACATGAGCTTACGTAAGGTTGTCTCTGGTTTTTGCGCTAAACCCGAGAAACCGATTGGTCCCGGACATAAGTGGACGTTGTGGGCCGGCCCTCCTGCGGCCCCTAAACTTTATTTCAAATACCCTGCGCATCTTGATCATGACGCTGAATATTAAAGAATCTTCCTAATAAAGTTCTGCCCTTCCCCAACATCCTATATATGAAGCGACCGAGGTGATGGTGATTATGCCCTAGTTCTCTTTTCCTTTGGGCTGCAGGGCTTAATTACGAACAAACTAGAAATTAAGTGGGGCAGAAATTTGTAGATAAGCTTTTCCGTCGATCATTCATGACAGTCGCATTCTCTCACCGTGTGACCCTTTCCATGGTTCATCGAAATTCTATTTCAGGGTTCAGCGATTCATCGACGACCCCGGTAATGTTCCACCGTGTTTGGGGTAACCTTTGTCAAACCATGGCCTTGTAACTTCCCAGCTATTGTTGTGATCTATTGTTGGGATTCCGAGGATTGATGCTTGTTCATATTTTGACACTAGCTTCATACATACAACCACGTAGATATCTATCATGTTGCATCTTGATTGCTCAGCTGCCACCTCTTCTGTTTGTAGCATCATCCAACAACACTAATTCATCAAGATAGTTATTATTGTTGCTTGGAGATCACAATGTAGCGCGCATGCCAGCGAACTGCTGGTAGCATGGAGGTTCCATATATCGGTATCTCAGCTTCCTGGCTGCAGAGACACGATGTACGTAGTCCCAAATCTGCGATGACGATCGTGTTTCTTCACGCCGTGACTGACGGAGTAATGTCATCGCGCGGCCTGTGATTAATGATCAGCTTGTAACAAACGTTGGAAGAAGGTCAGCTCATACCTCGTCTCCAGCCTTCCGTCTTGGTTGATTCATTGCTGTCGATATGGCTAAGCTCGGCTGTTAAGACTGTTTGAAACCACTTTTCGATGTTGCTTTGCACAGGCCTTTTATTAGGGAGGGTCGCCAATGAACCCCTACGGCCAACCGAGCGTCGAACAGTTCCTGCTGGTTTTCGATTGCCTGAATGCTTAGGCGATCTGGCACCAGAGCGACGTTGCTTGCGCAAGATATGGTACATTTTCCCTCGTAGAGACTCAACGCTTCGGTCCACCTGATATTGTTCATAATATGCGTCGGAGCGGGCTTTCCACGACAGCGCTCGATGGGCATCCAGCCAGGAGAGAAGGTTCTTCTCCTCCCATTCCGACCAGACTACCTCGCTTCGAGGAGGCATAGCGCTCGCATGAACTAACAGGAACCAGAGAGACCTTTTGAGCAATGGCACGACTTGAACTCCGCATGGATGGGAAAGGTGAGCCTTAATCCCCTCCAGGTCCCAGTAAAAGCTAAGATAGTATCCTTGGTTCATCTGAAATTTTCTGAAGGCATGTGGCATGATCATGGACCACTCTGGACAGTCGCTTCGGTCAGTCTGAGTTGTACTCTATCGACTCCGTATTTCAGAATCCCCCGGACTCCCAGCGCCCGAACACATTCATAGTTACAAGAACGACCACCCTTCAGTTTAGTACTTGTCAATATCTCGAACACAATGACTGTCTGTGGAAATGAACAAAGTAATGACTTCTTAAACCGAGCCCCACCGGGTACTAAGGTAACATGAAACAGACTTCAGAGGCAAAAACTTTGCCTTCTGACGAAGTCCCTTCCTCTAAAGTTGAATGACTTTCGTGCCTGATTGGCTAAAATGTGTTCCAAATTAAGCGACGATTGCGGTACGTACTGATGGAAAATAGTGCGCCTTGCAAACCCTATCGCAAACTCCGGTTTGGAGAGCAAATTCTTCATAAAAGCCTCAGCGACTTCTCCTGTAACATCCGACTCGAAAACTCGTTATCTCACCCTGACACAGATTCAGCTATGGGTGGAATTCGAAAACTTCCGTTTACTGATCAACGACAAAGCTTTCGGAGCCGTTTACAACGTGCATTGTCCCTGTCATCCTCCGGATCTGAGGATATCTGGATTCCGCCCAGATCCACGGCGGGGGATACTACGGAGGACGAGTGTTCTCAGGAGGACGACTCTTTTGGCAACGACCGCAATGGAATCACAGTGGATGATGGCCAGGAAAGTCCTCTGCACACCTGCAGTACGGGCCCGAGACCAGACGAAGAACTGGAACAACCCGGACAGGATCTCTCCGAGAACTGCAATATGATCGCCTTCCAATGTCTGGCAGAGTGAGTGTCAATCCGCTCCCTTGGAATGGTGTTTTGTGATATGCTGACTTACAGCGCTTAGACTAGATGTCCGAACGAAGTAAGTCGTGCGACCCACCAGAAAACAACGCAGGCTGATTATTTTGCAGGTCCATGCAGAAGTCATTGAATAACCAGAACAGCTGGATTGGAAACATTCGCAGTGATCTGGAGGAAATTCGCAGTCGGTTGGCTGTCGTGGAGACGGCTATTGAAATGAGGGCCAAAAGGGGGAGAACAATGCTACTGAGGGTGATACATCTAGACGATCGCTTCGGTCGCAGCAGTGATTCAGACCGGAAATATGACGAAATTAAGTCTATAGTCTAGAGCCGGATGTCAGCCCTTAACTGAGGTATTCTTATTACGTTGCGCTATGCGAACAATTATATTTCACCTTTGCAGACTCTCGCTTGAAGTTACGTATGACCGCAGCGCTGCGGGGCAGGAGAGAAAGCGGTCGATAGAAATCCTATTGACGAGATGAACTTCCTGTCCTAGCCGGCTGGAAGTCGCAACCTGTTAAGGTTTTACGGGAGTTCAATGGTCTCGCGATCAAGTCACACCGGGCCCCCCATATTCAGCGGCCATGGAGCATTCCCTTTGCCGTCCAATTGGCAGAGCAAAAGTCCGATCGTCCGAGTATATTTTTACGTGAAGTTCTTTCTACTATAGCGGAAGATAAACCAATGCATATATCTGGTTCAGATTTTACTGTTATTCTTACTGTCATCCTGGGACGGCGGTGGTGTCGCTATCATTATGCCTTGAGCTATCTATTTGTGTGATGGTTATATCGAATTGCGGTGCCGCCACAGCCAAAGCTGTTCCTAGCTCTGAATCTGTCATGCTTCACACAAGTGATTCATACTGGTTGGCTGGGGTTGCCGCCGGCTGAGTAACAAGCGGGTAATCGTTACTCGATGCGGAGAACCCGGGTAGGGCATTCTGACCCAAATTCCCATAAAGACCGTCCTGGTCGGGCCAAGCTCCGTAAATTACGTCAGAGCCGGGAAGGCAGGATGCCGGTCTACGATTCTGAAGGGCATCAATCGTGTTCCAGAGCCGAGTGGTCGCCGATACCAGCTCACAGTGCGTCTGATGCAAGGCCGGCTGAATATCGTTCCTTGAGATCTGATCCTGCGTGGCGGCGTCAAGTGACTCAAGCTGCTGCTTGATATGGCAGAGTTCTCTTTCAAGCCTCTGGTTTTCTTCCAAGGCTTTGTCTTTTGCTGCGAGAGCTTGCTGTAGTTTCGAAGACTCTTCGGCCTTTTCCGCTTGTAGACGCTGCATCGACTGAGATTGATGGGATATTTCATGGTCCATTTTCCCAAGAGCTAGTTCAAACTCTTCTTGAATCTGGTCCATCACATCCAAACATTGTCGATGTGTCGCCTCATGCTCTTGCCTCCGGGCGGTTTTCGTCATAGAATGTCCCTGGAAACGCTCGTCAGCCAAGAGTACATTATCCAGGGAGGACCGCATAATGTCTGCCGGTACAGAAAGATACGAATAACTGAAGACAAGTTAGGGAATGACATACCAGGTCTTTGTGTAGCTTCGCTACAGGGCTCTGAGGATTGCGGTCCGCCTTGGACGTAGAGACTGTCGACCGAACAGAACCAGGCGAACCAGCACGCGATCTGCTAGTACGAGACTTTGCTTTGGTAGCACCACGTCCCGCACTCCGAGAGGGCTTGGGTGCATTTGCCATACTGAACCTTTCCGGTCGAGAGATTGTTGTTGGTTCCAGTGGATTGCGGGTAAACTGATGAGTACGATGAATCGCAGTAGCCTCCTGGGTAACAAAGACTTTAAAGGGCTAGGTGGAGACCAAAGCAAGAGATCTGAAACAAAATGAAAACGCTGTGCCCTTGCCAAGACTTTGTTTGCTGGCATCTGGACCTTGATCAGAGAAGATCGAGTAACCATCTGCACACCGGACTGGACCCCATGGGGTGCTAGCGCGAAGTGTAAACAAGAAAAGGATAAAAAAAGGGTAAAAAGAAGAAAAAGAAATCCTGCCGGTCCATTGTGGAGGAAGTGATCGGCCGGCCCGCACAGAGAACTACATGTCTCAATACAGGCTACATTTGAAGAATCCGTGTCGTTCTTACACCCGAGAAAGACTCTTTGCCCTTAGGTATAATTCAATTGATGAACGCTGTTATAGCAGAGGCGGGATTTAAATTCTACACAGTTCCACTGTCGACAGAACCAAAGCCTGGTTCCAGAATAACAATATGAGCCATTTCAGCTACCAAGGCTCACGATTTGGTCCCTTGTGAATCGCCACCTCGTTTGCGAGATTGTAACGCTATTATCACAATCCTGATTTGATGTTGGAAACAAGGGACTCCCGTCGGACCAATCAAGTAATGCGCATGAATATGGACGAACGCTGGTACAGTTCTACAATGAAACACCAGCGATGACCCATGGGACAGTAGATCAAGGAGGTTCTATTTGTGGCACTCAAAAAATATTGAAGGGCTTGCAAAGGCCCGGACACGATCCACAAGCCCAGACTTGATGGGCTGTTGTCGTGCGGGTGGAATGGATTTGTTGCTGAGGAGTTACGTTTTGGGCAGGTGAGGTATTTGGAATATCACGCAGTCTTTCCAGAATAGAATGACACGCCAACAAGACGTGTGGTCATGGTTTCCTAGGGCCCTTCGGTCATCCGTCGCTTCTGTTTCTTCGTCTATCTAATTTACAGAACGTTCTACATGCTATGTATTTCACTCTGCATCAGCCATCCCCAAATAAGTGTATTCCCTCCCTATCCGATATTTCCTTCCCTACCCTTGCTTCAATTTCCGCGCTACTCCGGTATCACTGACAGAGCTTATACGTGTTTATGCCAATATTGGATGGAATAGAGAAACCTATGTAAACATATTGTCCGGTGTTTGTACTAAAAGCCGAGAAACCGACTGGCTTTTGGAAATGCAGTCGGCGTTGTGGGACCGAACTTATATGGGCCCGGAATCTTACATTCTTAGCACCCTTCCAACGTTGCTAATACTCAGGATCGCGCGACCAATAATGTTCATAAACACCATCGTAGCCATTTCATCACATACTCTATGTCAAAAGCCGAAATCGTGATGAGTGCGGTCCATTTCCTCTAGTAAATCGGTTACACTGTAGCGGCAGCCGTAAGCATGATAGATCTAAAAAGTAAGTGGAGAAGCAGACGGGAGATCTAGATCGGAGCTTAAAACCTAATTGCCATGAATCATCGCAGTCTTCCACTGAACACGCGGTTCCGTGATTCATAAAAAAATAATTTGTCACGATAGTTTGACACTTGGTCACCAACCGTGGATCCTGCTCTGCGTTCCACGGTTGTTATCATAGTAACCTTTGATATGACTTGGATGGAAAGGAACCTTTGTTCCAGTTGAGCGACAGCATGCCATTATTAGACTGGCTGGGAAAAAAACCCCTCCCACCAACATGACTGGGCTGGGATTGATGTTCAATCATATGCTTTGTAGCTCTACGGTATAGTTAATTCTGTTGCGACCCACCCAACGCATCCAAGGCTAGAATCCTAGTTGACAAGTGTTCTAAGAACTTTGGAAATTAGGAGATAGCTATTGTGTCATGATTTCATACTTCAATATGAGCACGCTCACATCCTGGTTCAATGGAACAACCCTTAAAACCCGCTACTGATCCCATCCATCAACTCAAACAAAAGAGACATCTCAGTACTCGTGTCAACCCTATCAGACCATGGATACAGTCATCACCAGCCTCCCCCCAAAGTGAGCGCCATTCTTATGGATAATATATCCATCATTCAAATTGTGTCCATGTTCTCGATCGGCGCGTACAATGCCGTTGAGACGGGCATCGTCACATTTGATACGTTCAAACACTACCGCAGCCTATATTTCTGGAGCATGCAATTCGCATCCTGGGGCATCCTTGTGCACGCCATTCCTGCCATGGCACGATTCTTGTCTCAGTCATCCAATCTCGCGACATCCATCCCCTTCATAGTTGGATGGTACGCTATGGTTACCGGCCAAGCCCTCGTCCTCTACTCGCGCCTGCATCTCGTTTTCGCCGATGCGAGAAAGGTGCGTTGGGTCTTGTGGATGATACTCACGAACTTTTGCATCCTACATATTCCAATGACCGTCTTATTCTTTGGCCTCAACAACGGCAACGCACGCTTTGCTCAACCTGCCGCGATATTCGACCGAATCCAATTGACGGGCTTCTGCATCCAAGATTTCGTTATTTGCGGCATTTACATATACGAAGCAGTTCGTACTTTCAGACTTATCAGCGCGTTCCGAGGTCGCGAGAGCCGCAACGCCATCATCCATCTAATTTGCATCAATATCATCGTGGTATTCGTGAATATTCTCCTCCTGGTGGCGGAATACAAACTACACTACATTCAAGTGAGCTTCAAGACGGTGGTGTACAGCGTCAAGCTGAAGTTGGAGTTTTCTGTGCTCAACCGTCTCTGCTCGGTGGCTGTCCCCTGCACCTGCCAGAGTGGATCCGGGGAGCAGCGCCGATCATGTGATCTGAATCACTTTGATCGAAACCTTCCACGGTCATCTGCGGAACCAGAGAGGACAATGCAATCTGCGTCGACTTATGAAAAGATACAGCGCCGTTTCAAATTGCCAAACTTGGTCGATAGATACCACGGGGCGAAGAGCTACTTTTCCGGGAAGAAGATCATTCCCTCCAAAGACAGTTCGTACTCAGAAACATTCCCCGAGAGCCATTCAAGCATCCGTACGACTGGATCATCGGAATCTCTGCCAGCACTGGAACTGAGTCTGTCTGAATTCTCGCCCAAACTCGATGTCTAAGCATCCTGCCAAGAATGCAGGCTGGGTCTCGTTGAACTTGTTAAGGACTGAGCAGCGAGGTGCGGGCTGGTGGTGGACATGGATGATCAGACATGACCGTGCTAGCTAGCTAGCGACAGCTCGGCTGTGACGCTGATTTGAAGTCTTTCCAGACGATGTAACTGGTGAATATTTTGGAGGCGATGCGACTCTGCGCTTGCTAGGTGAAATGTGGTCGATATCAATATGTCGGAGCGATAGGTCAGTGAGAGACATGGAGAACGGGGTGAAATAAAAAAGTAATATACAAGACTGTGCAAAAGTGTGGACAGGAAATTTGAAACAATAATTGTTCTCTTCACACCCAGTTTTGGCGTCAAATGATATTTGGCATTATCCTTCCGGTTCAGCCGACCGGATGTAGGCTGGTCGAGCTGCCCGGCTATGGCCCTGTAATTCTATTCTGTCTACTAGTGCATGGGCACTAGATCAAATGTAGAGCATTCTTATATGGTAGGTGAGAGCAAATGCGAAATACTAAAGGGTACTGATTGTTACAGCTTTTATTACGTGAGACGGCGAACTTATTGCACGTCCTTTCGTCAACCTGAACTTTCATACCACGCAATCCATAGACCAATTCTATCGTACGTTGCTATACCACATCTACATGGAACTTCAAAATCTGGCCAAGGGAGCAATAACGCGGTTGCTTGGAGAACCTGTGCTTATTTGGGATGTACCCCAGACAGTCCCTTTTCCGAAGTTAAGCGTAAGAGAAATCCGTGGGAGATCAATCATTTCTCAGAGCAAATAGAAAGAATCAAACAAAAGAAATATTTTGGGAATAATCATAGTTGCAGGATGGTCGACCGAAAATTCGCGAGGTATCCAGCACGAAGAACTTTCAGATTGAGGGCAGAATTTATTGACAACATGACAAAGTCTCACGATTTGGACTCCGGGCCATCTAGAACCTTCAGGATTGGTGTAGGGTGATACGATATCTTGAGATCGAGTTAATATCTTCATAGCGACAACATCGATAATAAAGAGGAACTTACTAACTGGTTGTCAGAGAGAGGCCAATTTGTTGAGTTTGACGTCAGAACATACATCTTCCCAGATTTCTTCATGCGAAGAATGAGATGAATGTCGGCATCGCATTCCGTGGTGTACTCAGAGACTTTTTTGAAAAGTGTGTTTCTTCGCCTGCGCGCTTTTTGATTAACCGCGTCTGTTGGGTTTGATTTCGGTTTTGGTTGAGTGGCCATAATTGGGGTTATCTTTTGTACCGAGAGCAGTGTTGAGTTGAGGAAAAATCAGACCGGCATCCAATTTTCGAGTTTTCTAGTAGTGACTTGAAAGATCAATGGTGTCGCATAGCGAGCCCTGCATTCTTAAGGGAACATAAGGCAAGAACAGTAGATTAGTAGCTTTGTTCTTGTCACAGAGAGCCATTTCTATCCGCTTCGTCGTTGATCTCATGCCACACCATGCAAGGAACGGTGAATCATCGCAACCAAGTTGATCGAGGTCTTCCACTTCGTTTCTGTCAACTTCAAGGTTTTTATCGGTTCACCACTTCGCTCATTTAAACAATGCAATCAAACAGGCCCGAGGCAAATTACGCATCTTCAAGTTCTGCAGCATCATTATGAGCAGGAGGAACAACGGAATTAAGCTGGCCGGTACTTTTGTGATGACAAAAATCCTAAGCGGTCTCAACAGTTCAAGTAACCTTCGATTTCAAATGCACATTGGCGATAAGAAAAGAAGTATTCCACTCCATTGGCAGTTAGCTGTCCGAACCTCAGCCCGGAATTGCGCCTTGGTCTGGGCTTGATTTAACCGTGTCGGCAATTGTGAGATGTACGTAAAATGCGCGCCCTTCACAAGTGAATGAGTCGCCATCAAAGTCGTCCGAGAACACGCCCATAGAGTTGCTTGCATTTTCTGCTGTGTTACTCGCCAGACTAGATGGTAGCGCTGCCAGAGAATATGTAGACATTCGCCTTCTTGTCCCGGAAGTATTGATAAGTTACCGGCGACAGCAGAAATTGACCGTAAAAGGACAAACCCGTATGGACTGGGAATTGTACAAATGGCCACTCTCGAGTCAATGACCAGGAAGCCATATGTAGATATGATACCACTGTATCGCTACAGGGCCACATCCTAGCTGCTGTGTTTGTCATGGCGCTTAGCCCTGTAAATGAGCGTGGTGAGCGGTGGGCTTTTACCGCCA